GTCAACCACTTGTTGCTCGTCATCAGAGTTATATCATTGTTGCTTAATACAACGTCATAACGTTAAGATGTCCGTTGATAATGTCGAGTGGGATTAGTGAATAACAACATCAATGCAACTTTAAATGACGTCATGCGGACGATCGTTGTTTCTTTTGATTTGCCATCATTCATAAAATGACCCGTTGCAAAAAAATTCTCCTTAGACTCCATAAACAACCTTTTTCAGTCCCGCGCAACGTCGCGTCTTCCTCACAGACTTTTTAGAACGAATTCGGACAATTTTATTACATTCTACAATTTTATTCTTCGATACATTTACATCGATTTTTAGTTTGCATTGAGTGTATAGTGCTCGTGAAGAAAAGGGTAATAAATATGCGTGATTGTGCACTAAGAGATTAAGTGACGCATACTTTTGTCTTGCATTTTTAAGAGATGGTGTTCATGCGCCCTTTTAAGATTCGTTTATGACAGACAAGAGACTATTCTAGTTTTACTACATAATGAATAATTATACTAATTAAGAAATTTGAAACATTCCAATGGACAAGTATGTTTTTGCACTTTTGCTAGTGTTATAAGAATTTTTTAACTTGATTATGGGGTGGAACTAAGTATGAATCTTCATGTAAATGTGTTGCATTCCGCCCAACAGAATTCCGGAGAATTCAATGATAGGGAGAGTAATTGAAACACAATGACATGATCGATTTCAACCGAGGAGAGGCGACCCAAAACCCACATTATATGCTTCTGAGAAAGGAGGTTTATAAGTCTGTAAATCACATACCGGCAAAAATTAACTGAAATTGATACTGAAAGGCTGAAATAATCATTTTTTTGGGAACCATGAATCAAATTATTTGACTTCGGTCATGAATATGTTTCCGCCAACTCAATTTTTGGTGTATTATTTCCGATGAAAATATTCTTCTGCACTTCCTGCAGTCTCCTATAATGTCAAACTTGAATCCTGGTCCCAGGACCAGGTCTCCAGAGCAGAGCATCAATTTCGACTGATAGACCATGCATTAATTACCCTAATAGCATTGAATATTGAAAAAAATGTTACGAAATGTGTAATTTTTATAAAGGAAAAAGTTTTTAAAGAAACGATTAAAATACACGGATCAGAAAACTCTTATTGCCGTATCTCATGCAAAAGCGCCGCCTTTCATTTTTTTGAGTTCTTATGACTTTACTTGCTCGATGGAAATTTTGCATCAATTTTTAGCATTCAACGCAGCATATTAATTGGACCGCGCTCAGCGAAACCAAGCGACATCAGCTATCGTTAAATTTAACTTGGCAATTGAGTATTTTACAAGAAAACGTTTGCGCTGATTCCCTTGAAAATTTAAAGGAATTAGTTTCGCACTTTGCAAAAAATTCACTGAAATTTGTACATTTGTACACAAAAATTCGCGCAGCCCTTACAATGTACAAAATGAATCTGCCCAATTCAATCTGGCAATAGCTGATGTGGCTCGGTTCCTTTCTGCTCAAAGCAATCCATTTTGCAGTATACTTTCCATTGAACACCAATACGACTTTTTTCGGTACTTGTTTCTTATAAATTTCACAAAAATTTTGCTTAATTTGAAAAAAATCGGATTCATTCATTCGTCCATTAGGTTTCTTTTTAATTCTTGCTGTCCAAATTTAATACTGTCACGGGGTGTATATTTAATTTCATATCTACATTTGTTCAAAATTTGTCAACGCTGTGATTTCTCGGTGTATCATTCTCACCACGAATTTGAGAGTTTCTTGGGGGGGTGGAGGGGAGGGGGCTAGCAAAATACTACATCACCCACAAAGAGCGAACAGTGGTGTGGCGTGAATGATCGAGTATCGATATTTCTCCATTTGAAGCTATGGTTAAGAATCGATTATTAAGGTGTCCTTGTCTATCGATCCTTTTCCATAGGTTTGAATGGCAGATCTATCGATATATCGCAAAGCACGCCACGCCACTGACAGCGAACCCAAAACGTACGCAAACTCGCGTTCGCGGAGAGGCTGACGAGACCTCCCTCATAAATTCTTCAAAGGGTGATTTTTCAATACTTGTGTGTGTTGGGTACTTTAATAGACGATGCTCGCATTTCCAACAAATGCATGAATTTGTGATAGCGAGAATAATATCAGTGTTTTATGACCCGATTCCAATCACGGCGCAACTCGGCCATCACCGCGTTCGCATGCAAGGGTGTTGAATTCGATTCTCGAAACAGCGAAGCCCATCGCAGGAAGGAGCAGTCGTTGCGATAAATTAGGGGCACCTACAAAGAGATTTTTTCTTGAGAATTCATTATCAAGCACACGACCGCACCTTATGTGAAAACAAGGTGAAAAACAATGATGAGAAGAAGGAAAATTGTGGTGGGCGGGAAGGAGAAACGAGCAACGGCATGATTTACAAACTAATTTTTATTATTTAAAAGCTGAAGCTAGGTGGCGTATGAGGTCTAATGTACCTATTCATGAGAGAGCACATTTTAATAAGCTGTGGGATTTAATAACGTGGCTATAGTTCTCTCCTCGCCTCTCTCTATTCCCTGTCGGCTCAGTTAAATAACAACTTTCCTAGCATGATACCGCACAATATCATGAGATTCGCTCTCTCCTCTCTTTTTCTCTCAACCCTCTCCCTCACTACCGTTTCTTTTTCTTCCTTACCACTAAGTTCAAACCTTTTTAAATCAACCTATTTCCTTCTAGTTCGGGAGGAGCTTCAAATGTTTTCTTGTCCCTTTGGACGTTTTGGCCTCTTGAAGATTTTTGGCTGAATACTTTCTTATTTAACCGAATTGATGGACAATTTTATCTACAAAGTAAAGCTTAGGATTCAATGGTTAAGCTGCAGAGGACTATGAGAATGATCCAAATTCAAAATATCTCTAAAAATGATTAAATATTGCTTATAATTTTCAATTTTTATAAGTGTACTTCTTTTAACATTATAAGGCAGTATCGAGTATTGACCGTTTTACTATCTTACAATGTTGAGTAAAAATGTATTAAATAAGTAATTAAAATGATGTAGGTAGCCGCTTAGGTATGTGAGCCTTTTAGAGAGGGGGGGCTGAGAGGGCAAGCCTGTAGTTTCACATGACCATTCCAATTAAAAGGAGAGAGCAGTTTACGATAAAAACACATAAGTCCCCTCAGCTGCCCTTAAGGCACTCTTCGTTCTTATCTGAAAATTTGTGAATGGGGCAAGTCAATCTTACATACTTCAAAAATGAGGGGATGAAAGATTGTCTTACGGGTACCCCACGAAAAAAGAGGGTAAAAACGTCGTCAAAGTACGACCAAATGCTTTTGCGAATAAGTTATAGTTGAGCCTACGGCATCGCAGTCCTAAGTTTATGAGCAGAAAAATACCCTCCTCACCACCTTCTTCAGTGGTCGAATAGTGTGTTCCAGATATGGTCAATTCATGCGTCTCTCTGAGAAACTTGTGAAGGTGCACTCAAATTTTAAAATAAAAGTATTGAGAAAAGGAATTTTCTCACATAACATGTTGTCCGATCACCAAAACGGGGAAAATAGGGAAAACTGAGAAAAGAGAAGGAACCGCAAAAACCACTGATATCACGAAACGTTAAAAAAGAACTGATCATATGAACCTAGAAAAAAATGTATAGGAAGAAGACACGTCTTGCGGACAGACTTACCTCTCTCAGGAACTGGTTGATACGGATTGTTTGACAATCGAATTTCTACTGTTTTTTGGTATAAAGGTGTGACTACAGCACTGCACTTCAGCGTAAACGTCCCTTTGTAAAAGTGACTAGGATCTAGTTGCATCGAAAGATTAATTATATTTTCGACTAGCTCGTCTCCTTCATCGGAAATAGGCTCGCTTTCCTCTTGAAGAATCTGGAAAAAAATACCGAATGCAAGGACTTAACGACCAAAATTCAGCTGAAACTAACTGTAAGCGGTCAATACTAATTTGCGGATAAAGCTCCTTCAAAACGGACGGACGCAACAAAGACGTCAGCGTTTTGATTTCATCAGCATTGATCCATAGCACCCATCGAATCTCAAAATGAGCCTGCGGGTTGATTGTGGAATCGTTATCGAACGACCTTGATCGATAAGCTCCTTCCTCCGCAATACTATTTATCGATTAAATTCATTTGCTTTAACAATCGGCCCGCTGAAGAAGTCCAAAGATAAGTTGTTCGCTGTCGTGTGCTACCAAAAAAGGTTCATGAGATAATTTTAACAATATCAATATATTTTTCAATCAAACACCCTTTTTTCCTACGAATGTCGAATGCTACGTTTGCCCTAAAAATAGCTGCTGCATTTTACGGCTCACACTCTCGAGGTAAAATTACCGTTCCTTCCCTCATTGCATCTTCCGTTCTTTTAAGAAAATGGTATCCCCGAAAAGTCCGACTCCTTAAATGTACCATTGGCGGATCCAGCAAATTGGCAACGCTGTTTTTCTCAATTCAAACCTATGAAAATGTATCGATTCTTGGAGGGGCCATATACTCTGACAAGAATCGATTATTCAACATAGGTTTAAACGGAGCGAATCCGGTGTTTGCAATTGCTGGATCCGCCTCTAAAAGGCACCCCTACTTATTCCATTCAAATATGCCTTTACTCATCGAGGTCTAAATTCTTATTTTGTTTTTTATTTCTAAGCACGCGTATTTTTGTTTTGAGCACGTGAACTGCCTCAAAGTTTCCGAGACGCAGTCGTTGGAAGATAAATTTCATATCATGGCTCCGCTTCTCGAGGGTTCGAGCTTACAAAACGCATATACTGTTTTGATCGACATATTTGTTCTCTTACATGTAAATTGAGTGAAAGATGACTGGCTGCCATCGAAACAATTTGCACAGCGGAGTGAGAGCGGAAAGAAGGTGCACAGAGAGATCCCACATGCATCAACCTATCTCGAGAGATAGTTTGTTATTTCCGATGTTCGATCATTGTTGCCACCCTTGCAGGATCAAAACTCTTTTTTTGTGGTAAGAATAAATATGCTTATGAGATCTGGCAACGTAAACAACATGTTAAGATAGTATGTTTGTCTTCATGATTTTGTAATAACTAAGTGCACTTAAACCTAAACTTAAAACAAATAAGCTCTCTCCCTACATGTTTTGTACTGATTGCCTGCGCCTGCGTGTTATAATGATGCAATACGAATGCGGGAACATTTTACATTTCACTTTTACTAAATTTTACTTCAAATATGCTTTGCGCTTTTATCATCTCTGCAAAATTCAGTTGAGATACCTAGTAACTTCAAAAACTGTTAAAATGTTTGTTTTAGGAGATCATTCAGGGCTTTGATAATGGTAAAATTTAAGAGAGGTAATATTCAAGAAAGTTTTGAAGATTTTTTAAAAGATTCACTATAATTATTTCTATAATTTTCACGTATATTTCACCAGACTTAAATTTTCCTGAAAACACCCCCCCCCCTCCAAAAAAAGTACCCTGAAAATAATTTTAAACTTTCAAGAGTATGAAAATCGATTTTGAAGGCTCATTGTCACTAAGGTTCATTCTTTCAACAAAAACTTGAGTTTTGAAATGGCATCGCTTATTTTTATGCGACTGAACTAAACTGAATTACACTTAATTACGGTTGTTATCTCTCTTTTTCTCTCTTTTTCTCTTGCAAAAATGGGAAAGGGAGTGTTTTGGATGAAATTTATCATGAGTATTATTCTTCATGAATGTTTTAAAATCATTTAATTAATGAACCAATTTTTGTTCAAAACGCTTAGGATCATTATCAGATGAGCTTTAAAAGACATTGGAATATTAACGCGGGGTTACGTGACTAGCTTGAATTAGTTCCCTTTTTACACATGTTGAGTTGAGCCGTGATTGAAATAATCAATAATCCTGAAAACCCAATTCTTCATATCCCCAATTTCTATTCGGACGTGATGTTATTTTGAGAGCTCCCCATCGACAATTCTGGCAACGTCGCCTGCGTCTAAAGCTTTTCCACCGACAAACTCCTCACCCCCCTCTGAGATCAATTCAAATTTGCGCCAAGGAAACCTCAGGATTTGTTGGATCCGCTCAGACACTAGTCATCGCCAAGTGATTGATGACGTATTGAAACGCAGAGCCATTGCTGAGCCGTCCGCAGCTCAAATTGCTCGGTGCTCAAGAACTAGGTTTCGCTCTTTCCGTGGCAGGCCAAAGGCCGAGCAGACATGTATGAGCAATTTGGATGGATGAGCTTACTTACGAAGCACTCGTGCGGTTTATTTTAAAAATTCAAGCGCAATAAAAGAGAATATGACAAAACTCAAAAGCTTGCAAGAGGGAAAATTCCTCATTCAAACTATAGTGAGGAGAGAAAAAGAATCGAGAAAAATTCAAGCGACATCTACTATCGTGATCAACCATTTGTTACAACAATTCCGATATCGACGGTGAAACTACCAAACCACGTATCTCGGTTTGCGACGTCGCAGACTTCCTGTCATACTTTATTTTTTAAATGAAAAACTACTTATCGTCCAGTCTTGAAAATTTCTGTGATTTTTCCTCTTCGTGCGGAGAAAATTCTGTGAAAATTTCAAGGAATGATATTGATTTGGTCTACTTTAAAAAAATAAAATGTGAGCGTAGATTTTTAAACACCGCAAACGAGATACGTGGTTTGGTAGTTTCACCGTCGATATGCAATATTCTTGAAGTTCTGATCACAATATGTGTTCTTTCAATACAACCGGCGGCGCAGGGTAATTAAAACAAGCTTATCACCATTAACCACCATTGAACTATATTAAAAGTCTCGAATTAAAGAGATTTTCACCATGTATGAATTATCAGTCTTCAACCCTCAAAGGCCCAAGTATTTTAGTTTTTAAGGATCGCTCGTTCCTTGAGCTACCGAGTGCCTATATTTCATAGTGTCTCCTATTTATTTGATGTTTTTTATTAAAAAGTTTTGGTATTGCATTTTTTGGAAAAATCGGGATTTCTCAACGTGAGAGAGAATTCCTAACTAAGTTCAGTGCAGTGCAAGTTTTTTATCTTACTTTTCTTAATGCATTGAGCCTCTTTACTTCTTCTTTTTTAGTCTTCAATTTTTTTTATTCTTTTAATTTTTGATTAGAATAAAATATTAAAACACGCTTACTTTAAACCTCAAATACACGACTTTCGGATATAGCTTAGCTGAATGTATTATCTTACCGATCTATTGTTCAAATAAAATGCCATTGAGGCACCTGGTTTTGACGGTGGACAGGTACAATTTGCTATCAGGTAATCTCCTGGAAAATATCTATTATGCTCCGTCCGTATGACTGGATCTTCTTCGGGTAATTCTGAAACAAATCAATTGACATATTACAAAACTGCCGTGGCGCATCTATTATTTACTGAGAATGGAGAACAATTTCGACGTTGGCCTTCTGTATGTCCCTGTGGAGATATAACCTCACCCCCCCCCCCCCCCAAAAAAAAAAAAATAAGAATAAATTCTTGCATGAGAGATTACTAAGTATGGTACATAGTAATTACACTTATGGTAAACGCACGTTAAAAAAGTATACTCTCAAAGTTACTCAAAAAGTTATGCGCTAAGTAAAGCTTTGAAGAGGAGGAATGGTAAAAAGGTATGTTGGTTGTTGGGTGAAACCAACAGAAGTGTAAGTTCCGTACAAGAAAATGGCGATGGTTAAAAATTACCAGTTGGAAGGAAATCTTAACTTCGAGGGTTTATTAGCGTCATTGATGTACGAGTAAGAGAGTTCTAGGGCATACTTGCACTTTATTGCGTGTAGGATTAGTACAGTTTTTATGATCTGCAACTTAGATCCCAATGTCTGGGGCAGTTTTCACTTCTGCTGGTACGCGCGCCAAGTTCAAATGATACTCAATGAAACAACTTTGATGAAGTCACGAAGTGTGCACTTACTGTGTAAGCAACAGCTTTAAGTTCGGTGCAAGTTTCGGGTTATTTTATGGCCGGATGATGCAATAACAGGTACCAACTATTTCTCTGAGCCCCCACCCTCTAGTGTTATCCAGCTTTTAATCTCGACCCAAAGCTAACAAAAACTTTCACGCAAAGAGATTTAGTCTTTGACACGTCCTTCGCGCAGATGTGTCAGCGAGAATTTCTCCCACGCCAAAAAACACACCACACATGTGCGGCGTCGCGTTGCGTTGCGCCGTTAAGACGATCTCTGTGTTGTAAGAAGTCATTTAGACTAATTAATTAATCTGCCATTATAGTCACCGATAGAAAAACACACCTAGTAATTAAAGGTTATTAGTGAGTGAAGGTGTTGAATGATCTTTTTTTGATTTCCATAGAGACTGGTCCATACACTCGTGTGTATTATACCATCAACTCTCTCACCCCCTGAATTTCCGGTTTCTTTCACAGTTTGTTTTACCATTCTAAGGGTGCGATTTTCATGATTTTTGCGGCTAGGGGCCTTGGAGGGCGCTAAGCGGTCTGCGTCCTCCCAATCATGTAGACCAATATAGGAATTTTCCGTAAATAAATAAATAAAAATTGTCCGTACTTTCTGATCTTGAATAATAATTTGAAAATTACGAAAGTAGACCCGATTTTCAAAGGGAGAGCCCCCTTTTTAAGCTCCCATGGGGGTCTGGGGTGAGGGCCTCAGGATGGTCAAATTCAGATTCCTTGCGGTTGATTCCCTATTCGACCCAAAGGCTCCTTACTTCATCCAACCCGGGAGAACCGAGGAAACAGTCTGGTTACGGGTGGCCTGGGACACCCTGTATGAAAAATCATAGACTAAAAGGTTAAAATTTTTTATGTAAAATATCCTAATCATTTCACAAAAATTGTCTGAAATTGTCGACGTGAAACAATGCCCGTCTAAAATTAAAACAATTAGTTACCAAATTGAACTTTGAAAAGTTGCGATGTAGTAAAACCCCTTTAACTTTCACCTTTTGCGATGGGAAGGTCGCTTCAGTAAAATCACTCAACTGGGGTTTTTTGCCCGCTTGAGACGTAGTACGTATAGAGAGTCTCACTGAGCCTGGGTCGGTGAAATGCGAGTCAATGCCTTTTAACTTATTATTTTTTTAACGCTTTTAACTGACAAAAGTTAGCGATCGAAAAAGAGGAACGAGGGGGCGCAGAGATTATGATTTCATACATAAATTAAATTGGGACTAATAAAAGAGAATCACAAAGCGGAAAAACTAATTGAATAGGTGTGCAGCAGGCTGTCGCGCACGAATGCACGCACGGGTGAGACGGCAAATATTCTCATCGGAGCTTTTGGAGTGATAAAAAGGTGCATGAATTATGAAAGCGGGATCAAAAAGCGATCTCTAGGGTTTTCAGCAATAAAAGTATAATGCTTGGCGTACACATGTAAACGATTCGCAGTTCCCCATCGCAGTTCATATCTGAAATAACGAAAGTCATATCGTAAAAAAATACCCAGGCTAAGTAAGTTTTTTCTCCCGTTCAAAGTAATGTCCTCCGCCTCATCCCAAAAAACGTAGGATAGGGATGCCACGCCTGTATTGCGTCTCTGGCTATTATAATATGACACTTGTCTCTTGTGAATGATTCTCGCTTTTTTTCAAAATCTAGCTCTGATATGAATGTTATCATTTTCGTATGCCGACGGTTGAGAACGTGTTTGGTTTCGTCCTCACATCATAAATTGTGATTGGTTCTTGAGAATGAAGACGAATCGTTTTGATTTACCTTGTGGATAGGCGATCTACACGAAAAAAAGTCTCTCTTTTTACGAGCCGAACCTAGGTTCTTCTGGTCCATCGTAATTTTCGGTCAGAGAAACCAAACTTTGAGTCAGGTTGCCAAAGTTGTCAGTCGCTGCGCTATAATTCGCCAAAGATTCCTAATTTCCATCTCAGAATAAGGTAATTGAACCAAAATTTGGTTTCTCCAGCCGAAAAGTCCTACTGCCTGTTAAGTTATGCGGTCCATATGAGTCCCAGCGTACTTTTTTTAATCGGAGTTCCTTAATTTCTCCCTTCAGAGGACAGAGGATGTATTTCCGTAATAAAAAAAAAATCGAAAAAAGGAAGAAGACGGAGAGGAAGTATTATCAAAATGAAAAAAGAATAAAAATGGAGGTAAACAACTTTCACTATGTTGTAACATAATGCACAATTTTTCTGAGACTTTATCGGCACTATGACCACTTTTTTTATATACAAATTGAAGTTTTTTCAAAACCCGATTAAACTGACTTACTTTGACTTTCTTACACCACGATGGCCATTTCGGGCGGGTCACCCATCTTCAGGTGACTCAGTTTAATCGGTTTTTGAAAAATATCAATTTGTATTAAAAAAAAAAAAAAAAAAAAAAAAAAAAAAAAAAAAAAAAAAGTAAACAACTTTGCCTGTTAAGTACCGCATACGCGGCTTATATTAGTTTTCTCAGCCCATATGAAAGAAGTGAAAGTATGAAAAGGTCATCTTGTGTATAGGTATCTTTTGTTTTTTAATGAATTTTTCGAAAGAAATACGCTATTTTTTTCCTGCAATTAATTCGTCAATCAGAAGCAGGCAAACGGAAAAACGATACATAAAATGGTCGAGTAAATGAATGTGAAAACGAATAATATCAAAGACGGAGAGGACGACTAGAGTGGGATATAAATAGCGCAAACTTCATAAATTCCTCCTCTGCAACCCTTTATTTATTTTGAGCCGTCCCTGCTTTTCCTAGAAGTAGCAGTCACAGTTTATACACAAGAAATTTTTCTCTGGCTTCTAGCAGACACACAGACTTTTTCCGTTCCGCCTGTCCTCAAAGTCTCAGTCAAGTATGATGAAAGCTCAGCTTTTGCCGTCCGAGTAAAGTTCTTCAGAGGCCGGATTAAAAACGTCGAGCCTTTGATGCAGGTAATGGTCGGAAAAACCGCGAAAGCAGCGTTTCAAATGTTAACACGGCTTACTGATTCTTGCGTTTTGGAAGTCGATCTTGGATTTACTATTCTACTCAGATTTAATTGGTGCGTTTCTGCCAGAACCTATGGCCGATTTAAATAGAATCAATCGATAGGAAAATTACGAATACGCGTATCTCTGTTAGTGACATTCCAGGTTCTTTTGGAGAGTGTTTATGCAAACAAGCACTCCTCCAATATTTTCTCTTCGGAACGAAAAGTTATTGCTAGGGAGGGAATTATTTTGTCTCCAGAGAAGTTAGTGTTCCGGAGAGAAATATTTTCTCTTCCCACCAATAACTTATCGTTCCGAAGAGAAAATACTTTTGTCCGGAACACTAATTAATTTCTCCGGAGACAAAATAATTCTCTCCCCAGCATAACATTCTTGTTCCGAAGAGGAAATATTTTTCGCTAGAGAGAAAATAAGTCTCTCCCTAGCATAAACTTCTCGTTTCGAAGAGAAAATATTTTTCTCCGGAACACTAACTAATTTCTCCGAAGAGAAAATAATTCTCTCCGTAGCATAAACTTTTCATTCTGAAGAGAGAATATTTTTCTCCGGAACACAAATATTTTAAACCGGAGTTTTTTCGCATGGAGAAGACAGATCAAGTAAGTTAGTTCGACATACTTGGTATATTGGTCTCACCGCGTCGGAGTATCATCATCGCATATTTCAAAATGTCTGCTCCTATTCAATAATTCCGGGGAGCAATAAGCCAACTCTGTATCGTTTGAAATCTATACTGAACTAGAGGCCATACCCCATGGCCGCTACGCGGCCCAACTCCTACAGGGGGAGGGCGCTTCGCTTTCTCTTAGACCCGCTTCGACAAAAGAACGACCAAAGAAAAAAAAGAAAAGATTTTCATACTCAACCCTCATTCGTACTATCTCTCTATGACCGCGAGCGATTGGACCAGTAAGAATCGTACGAAAAATATCGTCATTTACTTCAAACTTAAACAGCTTGCCAGCGAAAAACGCGCACTGACGCCTACAAACCTAAAGGGCTACTACACACATTGCGCAATGCTTGAAGTATCCCGTTGGGTTTGTAGGCGTCAGTGCGCGTTCCGAGCTGACAGTACGTCGCGCCGCGTCGCCGCGTGCCATAAACTTGCCCACATGAATAGGTCAGATTATTAAAATCTTGGAGATTTGACATCACATTTGAAGTTAGCGACTCAAAAAAATCAGAAACGAAACTTACGTGATCTCTTCACGTGATACTTCACTTTCACGTGACGTGAAACTTTCGTAAGTCATTATCTGACTTACTTCTTCCTATTCTTGAGTTTTGGACCATAGTGCACCGCGGGCGGCGGCTCATGAAATTTTCCCCTGTGCTCAATCGAACGAAGCGGAAAATGTTCGCTTCGCAAAACTGGCATCAAGCAGCT